ACACAGATAGAGAGATAGAGAGGGGGGAGGGACACAAAGAGACAGAGAGGCAGAGAAAGAGAGAGAGAGAGGGGGAGGGAGGGAGAGGGAGAACATACACAATAACAATAAAATATTTTAAAGAGTATCATCTTGGGTTAGAATCCACTTTCTTCCTTGAGGAGCATCCTAGGAGAAGTTGTGCAGTCTTGAGCTCTGTGCCTTAAGGTGCGTATCTGCACAATGGTAGCACAGAGGCAAAGTGAGTTTCCCATCCATTCACTGAAGGTTTGCAGAAATCAAGTGACCATCAACAGATTAAATAAGAGAGGCATACAACTTTTAAAAATGTTCAAAGGGGAGAAACCCCCAGGAGTGTGATCACCCACTAGTCCATCCAGTAACATCTAGAATAGTGCCCCGCAAGTGATTGTATTTATTCATTTTGGCTTTTTAAAGATGTTTTATCTTTGTGTATGTATGCGTGTGTCTGCAAGAGTGTCTGTGCACCATGTGTGTGCATGAGCCACAGAGGCCAGAAGAGGGTGTCTGATGCCCTGGAACTGGAGTGACAAGTGGTCTAGAGCCACCCTGTGGGCACTGGGAAGCGAACCTGGGTCCTCTGCAAGAGCCGTCTCTTCAGCCCAGGGCCCCCTTTTCTTTATAGAAGGTCAGGTGGAGAACGGCAAAAACTCTGATGGGTCAAAGACGATTATTAAAGGAATGGAGTATCCACGAGATGGAAATTAATCCCAAGGTTCTCTTTGGAATTAGGATCATCCTAGGGGATAGATCAAAGATTGTTATTTTGAGAGCCTTAGTTTTGCAGTTGTAGTCCTGTCTCAAGGCAGGACATGAATGAGGTCTTGAAACTGTGACTTAGATTGGGTTTTGAATGCAGGGGTTGGGGGAGTTAGGATTTTGCAAAATGTCTGCTATAGACCAGTCATGCTTGTCATTCTAGCATTGGGGAGGCTGACAGAATGACATGAATTTGAGGCTAGCCAGGACCACACAGCAAAACCCTGCCTCTAAAAACAGACCGTGTAGTTTAGGATTGTGGATAGGGGAAGTGAGGGTTTTGAAGCCTGCCTTAGGGAATAAACATCCATTTGTTGAGTGGGAAGAGATGAAAACAAATAACCCTGGGGCTCAAATAAGATGTATGAAGCCATTTTGGTTACTTTCTATTTGACAGCTACTGTTGTAGTTGGGGCTGCCTTTGGCCCGCCAACCAGCTCCCAAATATAAAGCCGTTTTAGTTATGTTCTAGTGCTTTGGCAAAGCACTGTTGCAGTTGGAATTTTCTTTGAACCACCAGCCAGCTCCCAAATAAAGGCACAGAGACTTATTATTAATTATGAATGCTCAGCCTTAGCTCGCTCTTGTAACTTAATCCAACCTGTTTCTATTCCTCTGTGTTTTGTCTTGGGGCTTTTTGCCTTTCTTTCATTCTGTATTCCCGACTTTCGTGCTTCCTCAGCATCTGATTGGCTGGCCCTTGGTGTCTCCTGTCATCTCCTTTTCTTCCCACACCCCACCCCCAGCCTAAATTCCTACTCCTATTGACTCGCCCTGCTTGAAAGTCCTGCCTAAATCTCCTCCCTCCCTATTGGCCATTCAGCTTTTTATTAGACCAATCAGATGCCTTAAACAGCATAAACAGATGCATAAACAGCAACACGTCCTTACATAATTAAACAAATATTCTGTAACACACCATGACCAAGGCAACTTACAGAAGAAAGAGTTTATTGGGGCTCCTGGTTCCAGAGGATGAGTCCATGACCATCATGGTGAGGAGCATGGCAGCAGGCAGGCAGGCAGGGTGCTGCGGCAGTAGCCCAGAGCTTACATCTTGAGACACAGCAACCAGGCAGAGAGAGAAAGAGCTAACTGGGAAGGGCATAAGCTTTTGAGACCTCAAAGCCCACCCACAGCAACACATCTCCTCTAACAAAGCCACACCTCCTAATCCTTCCCAAACAGTTCCACCAACTGCGGACCAAGCATTCAAACATATGAGCCTATGGGAACCATTCTCATTCAAACCACCACAGGGGCCAAAGAAAGTGTGCTAAGCAGGATGGTCTAGATGAACAGAACTGATGGGACATATATAAATACATGTGGTGTGTGTGTGTGTGTGTGTGTGTGTGTGTGTGTGTGTGTGTGTAAGGGGGCTTACTAAACTGGCTTACACAATAGGGTCTGTGTACTCCAACAATGCCCATCTCCTCTGAGGAGGCAGAGAACCTGTAACTGCTCCATCCACAGAGCCTCAGCAATCCCAGGCGTGCTGTGAAGCCCTGGAAGATTCCTGGAAAGTCTCTGGTTGTCCATTCAGGTTGAAGAAGCTGGAGCCTGTCAGTGACGGATGCGGCAGCCACAGCAGCAGCAGCAGTGACAGATCTGCTTCCCCACAAGAAATAAAACTAAACAGGCAAGCAACACGCCTTTCCCCTCCACCTCTTATACCCGAGACGACTGTTTCACGGCACGGCCCACCGGGCGAAGGTCTCTCCTGGACTCATCCTTGCTGGAAATGGCCTTGCAGACACCTCCCACCCAGAGGCATGCCGCGCAGTTGATTGGAGATCCTGACAAGTCGACAGTCAAGGTTAACACAGGGAGGTTGGACTTCTGCTGGGGTGGCAACTGACTTGGGAGTGAGCGTCACAGTTGTGAACACATGTCACCCTTCCTTTGTTCTTCTTCCTTCTACTTTTTGTCGCTCAATAAAGTTTCCGAATGTTCTCTGCAGAGGGTTGAGGTTTATTTGTTCCTATATATAGTTAATAATGAAATCATAAAGCCTTGATACCTTAATGCTGGTTTTCCTCCCAGAGCTGATGGGCTAAAAAACAGCTATCAGCAAAATGCCATTTTGTCACTAGGCCAAATGCTCCAGAGATTTTTTTTTTTAGCTTCACCATCCAGCAGTTGACTGTGTGAGTGTGTGAACAGCAAACTAAGCCTGTCTGGGCACCTTTCTTCAAAGACGGCCGCTAGAGCCCCAAAGTTGTAGAAGCTGTGAGTGACTGCAGGGGGCGCCCTAGTCACACCTTCCAAGGTGGACTGAGGAAACAAGAAGCCTGGGAGAGTCTGCCAGATGCTCAACTCTGATTGTTAACAATGTAACTTAGCATCAGCTGCAACCTCCAGAAAGGCTTTGTGCTTGCATCCTTCAGATAAGACACTCAATAGCTTAGAAAACCACCTTACTGTACAGACCTGAGTGTATATAATGATGGGTAGATCACCAAAACTGCTTAATTATCCATATTAATGATCCTCTGTTTTAACTTAAACCTCATGTCAGTGCCCCAACAAAGGACTTGGGGGGTCCCTGGGCCACTTTATTTGCCCTGCCTTCTCACTATAGCTCCATTGAAGATGTCTCTTTCTCCGCTGTTCATTCCTTCCTGTCTCTTTAATTAGTAGATTCAGGATAGGTGGCTGAGCCTCACATGTTAGCGCTGTCAGCATCCAGGTTTTCACCCTAAAATCTCCAACAATAGCCTTTTCTATCCATTTTCTCAGTAGTAGAGGGGCAACACAGCCTAGCAGGTAAAGCCAGATAGATCCAGGGATGAGAAATATTTCATCCCAGCATATTCCAGCCTTCTGCCCTCTGTCACTGCAGCAGGCAAGCATTGGGAATAGTTTAACCATCTGGGACTCCACCTAGTCTGGTTGTGTGAACACTGCTAATAATGTACCCCGCAGCCTGAGAGTCTTATCCACATACATTATGAACACACAGCCCTCTCCAAATAATACATCTAGCAACCTAGGAGTAACACAGGACTCCACCTGCATTGAGCTGCATCCTCCCATACTCCAAACAATGAAGTCATTTTCTCCCCTCCTAACAACTAACAAGCTCAGATAGCTTTTACTCAAGCACACTTGTCATAGTCACGTACAAGTCAAAGTCACGTACAAGGGTAGGGCAGTTGATCTAGCCTCAGACAGTTTAGGGTACCTGTACAGCAAAGTAGTGCCATCTAAGTGAACAAGAAACCCCTTATTTGACCGGGTGGTGGTGGCGCACGCCTTTAATACCAGCACTCAGGAGGCAGAGGCAGGCAGATCTCTGTGAGTTGGAGACCAAGCCTGGTCTACCGAGCGAGTTCCAGGACAGACTCCAAAACAATACAGAGAAACCCTGTCTTGAAAAACCAAAAAGAAAAAGAAAAGAAACCCCTTATTTGTCATCTTGTAACTATGTAATTTATGAGTGCATATGATTTCAATCAGATACATTATGGAAAGGAACACGTGCAGCAGAGAAAAGGCTATATAACTTAAACCTGTCATCAAAACAGAGAACTTCCCACAGTATGTCCCTCAGTAACCATTCTCTCCATCCTTTGGACCACATAAGAGAAGCGTCAGGCTGGCTCCCACTCACGCTGTCCACTGTTGGTCTTGGCGGCACATTTCTTTCTGATTAGTGCCATCACCTTGCTTTGAGTGAAGTGGCCTCACTACTTCCCATCTGTGTGAGCCTTAGCTTTGATTTCCTTCCTGAACAAGATGCTAAGATCTAGAGACATTAACACCGAGGCCCAGAATTTTCCTTTCCTGCCTCCGTTTCATTTGGTCTTCACAGTTATATGAAATAAGCGACAAGAATACTATTGGCCCCGTTTAATAAATGCAGAAGCTGATGCTTGGATGGTTCAGGAACTTGGCAAAGGAAGATCAGGGAGCTGCCAATCAGGAACCACCAGGACCTTGGCAGCACCATGCTGCCCTCTTTGTTTTTCTTGCTATTTTAGACGTCTGTTCTCAATTCTTCAAGGTCTCTCACAGCCTGGAAACTAAATATAAAGCTGGGTGTTGCTGTGCATACCTGTAACCCAGCGCTGAGGGTATGGAGGAAGTTCAGGGCCAGCCTGGCCTACATTGAGACCCTATATCAGAAAAAGACCGAGTACATTTGGCAGGGTAGGACAGACCAGGGGAGGACAGGAAATAAGCCAAAAGACAGACTGAGATACAGCAGTCACGTGTATGTTCATATAATCCATTTTTATTATCCATTTCTATTTTACCCATTTATTATAAAGCCTTGGGATATGTGACAAAAGAGGTTCTCAGAACAGCCAATCTCCCCAGTCTTGTAGGCTTGACAGAAGGTTTCCTCATCCAGCATCTCCAATCACCAGTGAGCAAGGACTCGGCTCTCCTTCCCAAGCCAGGAACAGCCACTCAGGTTGGAACTGACCTTTTATAGGTTCACAGAGCTACGAATATATCAAATCTCTACTACAAAGAGCTTTTTGAAAGATAAATTACGTTGATGGTCATTTCATCTGTATAAAAACAATACATGTCTTAGCTGAAAGTTCCACATATGCAGAGATCATTTTTTAAATGTTGCTTCTTTTGCCATCTAGGAATCAAACATGTTTTGGTCTCAAGTCCTCAGTCCTCTTTTTGTAGAAGATGAGATCCTTTTTCTTGTAGTGAAATAAGCAGGAAGCACAGGGGCCAGGAGAGGATTGTAACTGGCCTGGATTGAAGAATGAATGGGGCTTCATTCTGCAACATGCCAAGGAAGTTATCAATAAGAATAACAAAGCAAAAATAAAAACACTCATACTAAGAAATTTCTTTAAATACTGAGTAAAAATTTAAAAATACCTAGATGTGTGTAGCTGATCTGCTAAGAAAGGCTAGCTCTCCAAGGCCAAAATAAATCTGTGGTAGTTTGAATGTAATTAGCCCCCATAAGCTCATATGGAGTGGTACTGTTAGGAGGTGTGGCCTTGTTGGAGGAAGTGTGTTGCTGTGGGGGCGGGCTTTGAGGCCTCAAACCAAGCTCAGTGTGACACTCAGTTCACTTCCTGTTGCCTGTGGATCTAGATGTGGAACTCTCTCCTTCTCCAGCACCATGTCTGCCTGTACGCCACCATGTCCCACCATGATGGTAATGGACTAAACCTCTGTCAGCAAACCACCACAATTAAATGTTTTCCTGTATAAGAGCTGCCATGGTCATGGTGTCTCTTTGAAGCAATGGAAACTCTGAGATGAAATAAAAAACACAACTTCAGAGTGTAGAGATGGCTCAGTGAGTAGAGCGTTTGCTGTGCAAGTGTGAGGACCTGGGTTCAAATCCCCAGAGTCCAAGCAGAAGTTGGGCACTGCAGTGTGCATCTGCAGTCCCAGTGCTCCTATGGGGAGATGGGAGGTGCAGACAGCAGAACTTGGAAGTTTTCAGGTCAGCTGGCCTGGTGTACACAGCCTTTAACAACAGAGGCCCTGACACAAACAAGGTAACAGGTGAGGGCCAACAATAGAGGCTGTCCTCAAACCTCCACACACAGTACACATACACACACTCACACACCACAGACAAACACATACACACCCAAACAAACACATATACACACACTGTCAGGCCAAAACTCCAGCCTGGTTTAGTGCCTTTATCAGCTGTAGAAGTGACTGTTAAGCCTTCAGTTAGGATTGACGTCTGCCCACGGGCTGGTAAAAGAACAAACTAGAAAGAAAAACCTGTCTCATAAAAGAACTTAGATTTGAAGAATGAAATAAAACTTGAAATAACCCCTAGATGTCACGTTGACTCCTCAAAGCACCATTGCTGAAATTCCCACCTGCTGCATGGAATAAAACAACTAAAAGTCGAGAACATAAAGTGACTTTGAGCATTATGTCTATTGGGTTAATTTTGTTTTTTTAATATGCAATTTATTTTTAGGTTATATGCATTGGTGTTTGTCTGCATGCATATCTGTGTGAGAGTGTCAGAAGCCCTGGAACTTCAGTTACAGACAGTTGTGAGCTGCCATGTGGGTGCTGGGAATTGAACCCAGGTCCTCTGGAAGAGCAGCCAGTGCTCTTAACTACTGAGTCATCTCTCCAGCCCCTAACTTTTGTTTTTGCACTAGCATTTTGAAACAAGGCTTCCCTCTGAAGCCCAAACTAGTCTAGAACTTGCTATGTAGTCTAAGTGTCTTAGTCAGGGTTTCTATTGCTGTGGAGAGACACCATGACCAAGGCAGCTCTTATAAAGGAAACACTTACTTGTGGTGGCTTACTGTTCAGAGCCAGTCCATCAAGGCAGGGGCATGGCATCGTGCAGGCAACAGGAAATCAACTGACACAACTGGGTGGTACCCTGAGCATATGAATCCTCAAAGCCCACCCACAGTGACACAGTCCCCCCAACGAGGCCACACCCACTCCAACAAAGCCACACCTTCTAATAGTGCCACTCCCTATGAGGTTATGGGATTATGGGGCCAATTACATTCAAACTACAAAATTCCACTCTCTGGCCCCCATAAGCCTGTAACAATATCATAATGCAAAATGCATTTAGTCCAACTTCTAAAGTCCCCATAGTCTATCAGAGTCTCAACAATGTTTAAAAGTCCAAAGTCTATCCTGAGATGAATGGCAACCTCTTAACTGTAATCACCTGTAAAAAAAAAATTAAAACAAAAACCAGATCACATACTTCCAACATAAAATGGCACAGGATATACATTACCATTCCAAAACACAGGGAAAGGAGCACAACGAGGAAATGCTGGACCAAAAGCCAGCTGGGAAAACTCCAAATCCTACATCCCTGTGTCTGATGTCAAAATGCTTTCCATATCCCCAACTCCATTCTGCTTTGTTGACTTCAACACACTTTTTTCTCTGGGCTGGCTCCACTCCCTGTTAGCAGCTCTCCTTGGCAGGTATCCCATCTTGGGTAATTACAAAATCCCAACAGTCCAGTACCTGGGAACCACTCATGATCTTCTGAATGCCTCCAAAGGGCCTGGGCCACTTCTCCGCCTCTGCAGCACACACAGCTGTCTTCTAGGCTCCTGTTGGCTCCACTCCACTGCTGCTGCCGTTCTTGGTGGCCATCCCATGGTACTGGCGTCTCAAAACCTCTGGGCCTTCAGCTGCCACTGGGCTGCACCTTCACCAATGGCTTCTCCTGGCCTCTCGGAGCATCAAGCCTCAGCTGATCTGCATGACCTCAAAACCAGTACCACCTGGGTGATGCTTACACATTACCAAGTCTGACTGGCGGCACAAGGTACAAACTTGGCCATCTCTGGAACACAGCTTCTCTATGTACTCAGGGAACACTTCCCAGAAGATTTCACTCAGAGATTCTGGTCTCTTATTAATCACCGTTGACTTCTTAGCTCCAGCCACCAGCATCAAGTGTCCCAGCAAAGCAAAATTTTGCTTCAGTAGTTCTTGTATCTTGTTAATCACAGTTGTTTCTTCAGCTCCAGCCGACCATAACCACAGGATCTTAACTGCTTTCTTCTATCCTTAGCTCTAAAGCCAGAACCATGTGGGCAAAGCTGCCAAGTTCTGCTGCTTGCTGGGTCTGCGACATGGCCTCTCGTTCAACTACATCTTCACCAGCTTTCTGTCCTTCACTAAGTTTGACTGTACTGAAACTTGCTCTGTAGACCAGGCTGGTTTTGAATTCACAGAGATCTGCTTGCCTCTGCCTGCTGAGATTTAAGGCCTGTGCCACCACCACCTGAGGTCACCACTCCCTTTATTCCAATTCTTAATCCATTTATCTCCTTGAACAGAGGATTTATCTCCATCCCACCTTCTGGTACCCTTTTACTCCTCAAATATTTTTCCTTGCTCAGCTTGCTCCTTTCATTATAAATCTTCATCAGAGTTACCACTAATACCCACATGACAGAGTCTATACTGGGATGTTTTGAGATTTCTTCTGCCAACTGAATTAATCCAAAACTCTTCACTTTAGCCTCAGGTGGAGTCTTTGGACAAGGGCAAAACACAGCCTCTTCCTTCACCCAAATATCTCAAGAACGATTTCTAGGCAACATCCTAAAGTCCTTCTCTGAAACCTTTTGAGCCAGCTCCTGATGTTTGAAGTCATTGTCAGCACCGCTGTCTTCCATGCTCCTACTGTTATTCCCCCATTAAGTGGTGCTTAAAGCACCCACTGCTTTCCTAACCCAAAGCACTTTTGGCGAGGTTATCAAGGCAAGTGAATAAAGAAGGAGCATTGTTGTGCGATATTTTGTTTGTGTCCTGACAAATAAAGCTTGCTTGGAGATCAGAGGATGGAACTAGCTGCTAGTTAGTCATAGAGGTTTGGTGGACTGCAGAGGGGAGACAGGATAAGGCTGAGTGGAGACAGGGTCTCAGCCCTTCTGGATGGAAAAAGGAGACAGGTAGGAAGCAGCTGATGGCTGCGCCTGTCCTTTGATCTTCCAGGTTTTTACCCCGATATCTGTTGGGGGATGTCCTTCTGTATGCTGTGAATATATGTTTCTCATATTAGTTGAAGAATAAGGCTGTTTTTGCCAATGGACAGGCAGGATTTAGCCAGGCAGGAAATCCAAACAGAGATAGAGGAAAGGTAGTAGGTGGAGTCAGGGAGATGCCATGTAGCTTCTGAGGAAGGAAGATGTCCGGGCATCTCTGGTAAACCAAGACCACGTGAAGATACACAGATTAATAGAAATGGGTTAATAATTAAGAGAGAGCTAGCCAATAGGAAGCCTGAGCCATTGGCCAAACAGTTTACAATTAATATGAGACTCTGTGTGTTTATTTGGGATTAAACAGCTGTGGGATCAGGTGGGACAGAAACTTCTGTCTACAGATATCTGACTCCTGCTTTTTTATTGATTAGGATTAATTAGGTTGGACCTGGAAAGATGGCTCAGCAGTTAAGAGCACTGGCTGTTCTTCCAGAGGTCCTGAGTTCAATTTCCACATGGTGGCTCACAACCATCTGTAATGGTTCCCTCGTCTGATCTGCATGCCTACATTCAGACAGAATGCTATAAACATAATAAATAAACCTTTTAAAAAGTCTTTCTAAAATATCTTTTAAAAAAGATTAATTAGATTAACACTTCAGAGCATTTCAACAAACAGTGCTGAGCCAACTGGATAACAATGTTCAAAATAATTAAGCTCGGTCTGTTTTTTCACACCCAATTCAGAAACTGTCACAGACCTTATGTAAGAGTTAACTCTATTTTTTTAAAAACTTAGAATAAGCTATAGAGTCAAAAGTCCTTGGCTAGCTATGTGTGATGATGTAGGTGGTATGATCCCCAGCACTCTGCAGGCTGAGGCAGGAAGAATCCATCAAGTTCAAAGTCAGCATAAACTACAAAGTGACTTGCAGGTCATCCTAGACTGTGTCTCAGAAAACAAACACAGAGCTGGGCAATGGCTCCCTGGATAAGATCCCCTACTCTGTAAACATGAGGATCCAGTACCCACATAAAACCCCCATGGTTTCACATGCCTCAAGCCCAGCCCTGAAGAAGGGGTGGAGAGACAGATGGATCTGAAGAGCTTGCTGGTGAGCCAACCCGGCCATGAGGACAAGCTCCAGGTTCACTGAGATCCTGTCTCAAGTCAATACGGCAGACAGCAGCAGAGGAAGACACCAAATGTCTTGCTCTGGTCTGGCCTCTGCATGTTTGCACACCAGCACACCCACAACAAAAATAAAAGGGCAGTAACAATGCATTTGGGGGTTGGGAGGACCAACTCAGTGATAGAGTGCTTGCTCAGCATTCGTGATGAAGTGGAGAGCCCATGCTGATTCATCCCTATGAGCTAAGGCAGGAGGATTCCTGTGTGACTGAGGCTAGCCTGTGCTACAGAGAAGACCCTGCCTGAAAAAGAAGTAGAAGAATGGGGGTGGAGGAAAATATTTGCAAGTCCCATATCTGATAAGCATCCATGTAATATTAAATAGCTCATACTTTAACAAGAAGACAGACAGTCATTAACACTATGGACAGAGGGTTTGAAGACAAATCCTTCAAGGAGATATGCAAACACCTTTCCAGGGAAATTATGAACACATTTCCGTTCACCCCAGACAGAGCACCAACGGCAGACTAAAACAACAATCTCACCCAAGCCCCGCCTGATGAACTAGTGAATTTATTGGGGTACTTGTCAGCATGTGGGAGACTAAAAGCCCACATCACCACTGGTGATGACTCACAAAAGCTGTATTCTTGAGCTCTGTGCAACTTACAGGCAGCTCCACCTGAGTCTCCTGCTTACTGCTTACATAACCTGGGGGGGGGGCTTTGTGAATCACGTGACTTTCTAAGCAATCCAAGCCTTGTGAGGTATATTAGCTTCCTTATCCTTAGGAACCTCTTTCCTGCCTCCGGGAGGGAACACATCAATTCATAGTAAATGACTATACAGCAGCACTCCTTAGCAAAATGCCAACCAAAGGCAGATTGAAATAACACATCACACCCACAGGGTAGGGATCCAGGCTAAACTGAAACCATTGCATGGCAGGCTGAGTTTTCAGACCAGACCCTGGTACTGTGACGGTCAGGAACCTGCTTGGTGCCTTTCACATGAGATTAAGATAAAGCAGACACATTCCAGCATGAATGAAAATTGCTTTTGTCCTGGTCACTGTATTAGTCCTGCCTCTCTGACCCAAATCACAGGGTCTTGTGACCAAGTCTCTAAGCAATCATACTTAGCATAGTCCTGGATCAGTCTGCCTCTGGTGTCACAGTACCTGAAGATCAGTTCTCACCCATCTGCAGTGGATTTGCCTAGACCAGGTGCTTATCCTAAAAAAGACATTAACAAGTGTTGGAAGGGATGTGAGGAAACTAGTACCCGTGCACACTGCAGATGGGGATGGAAAGTGTTCCCAACACTGGGGAAGTACTTTGGCAGCCCCTCAAAATGTTAAACATAGGATTATCATCTGACTGGGAAATTCTCCTTCCAGAAAATATCTACACAAAGATATGAAAACATTTCAAAGCAAAAATACACAAGCATTCATAGTGGTGTTATCCAGAATTCCAAGGAATGGAGAGGATGAAACATTTTCGAAACAGATAAACAAATGTGGTGCATCAGCACGTGGAACGGAGGAATCTTGAGGAAAGTATCTACTGGTGTATGTGCTACAGTGTAGCTAACCCTCAACTGGTGTATGTGCTACAGTGTAGCTAACTCTCAAAGACACCCTGCTCAGGCAAAGAAGTCATTATAAAAGGTCTTGTCTGGACACCAGGTGTGGCAGTCCAAAAGGATAACCCCAACACTGAGGATGCTGAGGCAGGAGGATTGCTAATTGCAGGCTAGCCTTGACAGCTTAGCAAGACTGATTCAAAAACAAACAAGATTCCAGTAACACAAAAGATCTAGAATAGGCAAATCTATAGAAGTAGAAACTATATTAATTGTGGAATAAGACTGAGGAAGGGACTAGGGCCATGGCTCAGTGGTTAAGTGTACTGGGCTGCTCTTCCAGAAGACCAGGGTGTAAGCCGAGTTTTCCCATCCCGGGAGCCACTTTCAAGTTACTACACTGAGGCTTACATTAATTGTAAATGCTTGGTCAATAACTCAGACTTATTACTAACTAGCGCCTACAGCTTAAGTTAACCCATTTCTATTCATCTACATTCTGCCACGGAGCTCGGGCTTCCCTGTCCTTCCCTCTGTGGCTCCTGGCATCTCTCTGACTCCGCCCTTCTCTCTCCCTGTATCCTCAGTTTGATCACCCTGCCTATTAGTTTGCCTAGCCAACCAGCTTTTATTAGCCAACGAGAGTCATTCGTATTCACAGTGTGCAAAAGGACTGTTCCACAGCACCAGGGTTCAACTCCCAACGTCCTCTTCTGACCTCCCTGAGCACCAGACAAACACATGGTGCACAGACATAAATACAGGCAAAACACTCACATAAACAATCATGATTTTTAAATTTTTTATTATTTTAATTTTAAATACCTTGTTTTGCATGTCAATCCCAGTTCCCTCTCCCTTCCCTCCCCCCGCACCCCCACCATCCCCCCATCCTCCCACCCTATTGTCAATTCCTAACAATCATGATTCTAAAAAGACAGCTATCGTTGACTCTTTTTTTTTTTTTTTTTTTTTTTTTTTTTGGTGTTTACGAGACAGGGTTTCTCTGTATTGTTTTGGAGGCTGTCGGTCCAGCCTGGCCTCGAACTCACAGAGATCCGCCTGCCTCTGCCTCCCGAGTGCTGGGATTAAAGGCGTGCACCACCACCGCCCGGCCTTATAGTTGACTCTTTAAGAAGACTGGGAAACATTGGTGTGGTAGGATGGTGAGTCTGGAGTTTGTTGTGATTACAAAAAGGATCCAAAGGTGTGCGACACCACTGCTGAGCTGGTTTTGTTTTGTTTTGTTTTAAGCAAAATCTTATGTAGCCTAAGCTGTCCCCAGAGTTGCTATGTATGGGAAGATGACCTTAAGCTCCAGCTCCCAGATGCCAAGATAACAGGCTTGTGCCATCGTGTCCATAAAAAACTGGTTTTCTAAAGAGAAAGCTGATATCCCAGCTTTCCTCTTCTTAATTTTCCTTTGTGGTACTATCGATATTGCCTTCAATCCCAGCAAGCAGATCTCTGTGAGTTTGAAGCCAACCTGATCTACAGAGCAAGTTCCAGGACTGTTAACACAGAGAAACCCTGTCTTGAAAACAAAACAAAATAAAAATCCAACCCAAATAACAAAATAAAACAGATAGCTTTAAACAAAACCCCCAGCATTGTGGAAATATGATAAAATCCACTAGTTTAACATGTACAATTCAATGATTACTTTATATACACACAGAGGTGTGCAACCACCATCCACAATCACGTTATATACACACACAGGTGTGCAACCACCATCCACAATCACTTTATATACACACACAGGTGTGCAACCACCATCCACAGTCACTTTATATACACACACAGGTGTGCAACCACCATCCACAGTCACTTTATATACACACACAGGTGTGCAACCACCATCCACAATCACTTTCCTGCCTCCAGGCTCCTGCCCTGTTTGAATTCCTGCCCTGACTTCCTTCAATGTGAACAGTGATATGGAGGAGTAAGCCAAATAAATCCTTTCCTTCCCAAGTTGCTTTTGGTCATGGTGTTTCATCACAACACTAGTAACCCTAAGACACTGACACTATATGTTTACTATTTTAAACCTAACCTTGGCTAGACCTTGTTTCAAAAACTGTAAAATGAAAAATCATAAAAACCCATAGAAGATAATATAGGATAAAATTTAGATATGAGAGGGTCTGGGGATGAACTTTTAGATGTGACAACCAAAGGAAGGAAAAATTGGTAAGGTGAACTTTATTGCCACTAAAATTTTGTGCTCTGTGAAAGCCACTGTCAAAAGAATTTTAGAAATAGTAGGAAAGAAAATATTTACAAAGATAAGGCTGGACAGAGCAGTGGTGGCAAACGCCTTTAATCCCAGCACTGGAGAAGTAGAGGCAGGTGGGTCTCTGTGAGTTCGAGGCCAGCCTGGTCTACAGAGTGAGTTCCAGGACAGGCTCCAAAGCTACACAGAGAAACCCTGTCTCAAAAAACAAAAACAAAATAAACAAACAAACCAAAGATATGGCTGACAAAAACCATCACTGAAAACATACAAAGAAATTTTACACAGCAATAAGAAAGCTAACAAGGATTGAATGATGGCTCAACAGTTAGGAGCACGGGCTGTTCTTTCCGAGGGTATGGGTTCAGTTCCCAGCACCCACGTGGCAGCTCACAGCCATCTGTAACTCCAGTTCCAGAGGATCTGATGGCCTCTTCTGATCTCCATACATGCCAGGTAGGCATGTGGTGCAGAGACTCACATGCAGGCAAACACTCATACACACAAAATAAAATAAAACTTTTAAAGAAGAAAGCTGATGCTGGGCGGTGGTGATGCACGCCTTTAATCCCAGCACTCAGGAGGCAAAGGCAGGTAGATCTTTGTGAGTTCCAGGCCAGTATGGTCTACAAAATCAGTTCCAAGACAGGCTCCAAAGTTACACAGAGAAACCCTGTTAAAAAAATGGGGGGAGGGGGACAAAAAATTCAAAAGTTAAGTTAAATATCTAATGTTAAAATAGAAAATGAAAAGACAGAAATGAAAGAAAATGTGCAATAAAATTGACAAAGAACATGTCCATATTAGTATTACATGCCCACTAAAACCATGGGCAAAACACAAGGAAAATCCTCCGCATAAATGTAACAAGGAAGAGCTGATGGATTGGCTTATTTCTAATTTGTTGCTTATTTCTTCACAACAGACTGGAGTGTATCAACTCAGAAGTTTGTCAACAGCACTCACTAAGCCCAAAGGTTTGCATATTCAAGAAGGGTTTTGTTTTGCCATAGATGAGCTCTTACTTTGCTGTCCAGGCTGGTTTTGAGTTCTTAAGTTCAAGGGAGCTCCTTGCTTCAGAAACACCGAGTCCCACCCTAGCGCCATCTAAGTGTTTTAAACGTTGCCCAAGTAAGCAGATGTTTAGCCACTTGGCCATGTTTGCTTGGAGCTTATGAACCTGTAACAAAACCTGCTAGTTACAGATGAGGTTAAGTTCTGCAGCTGAGCAGTTCTTGGCTCGCAATCTCCCCACTATAAGATTCTAGGCTGCAAGCTAATCTAACCACAGGTACCTATAGAAGTCTTTCCTTCTCTCCCCAGTCTCCCTAACCTCTCACCCCCTCCCTCCCACCCCCTTCCCCCATGAAGAGCCTCTCTGTGAATCTGTAGCCTGTCCCCTCCCTGGTAACAGTGTGAGAGCCAAATCAGGAGTCACATTGTTAAGGAACCACATTGTTATACATTGTTACTAAGTTTCCAGATCTTACAAGTTTCTATTTCCCAAGCCTAATATATTCTGCAAACCATGTGCTTCAACCTCCGCTGAACTTGTAACCCCATGATGTACACCCACCCCTTTGCCTTGCTAAACCCCTGAACCTGTGATGACTCCCCTTCCACATGATGTACTTTTGCACTTATCTACACTGGCACCCCCCCCCCGTGCCAACCAGGCAGCCTTGAGGTGCTAACAGCCAATATTGAAGTTGTTTTCTACCAACCCTAAGCCTTCCCCATGAAAGGGACCTTAAAGCCAGTGAGGGGCTGCTCTCTGAAATCCCAGACTTAGGATGAGGCAGCTAACTAGCCAATCTAAATAAAACTTGCTGAATCAGTCATCAAAATGCTCCCCTACCCCTAGGTCTAACAGCAAAACACAAGGAAAGAAATGTTAAATCCCAGACCAGACCCTACTCAAGTTGTGCTCATCTGCAGCCCTCTCCATCCTCATAGTTGATTCCAGGACCCTTTCCAATACAGGGAGAGACCGACACCCTACAGAGAACCTGTCCCAGTCGAGAAACAGACTCTCAGGTGTCTGGATTCCAGGACGCTGCCTTTTTCCTTCAGACTTCTGGGACGTCAGCTGGTGGTAACACATCTTCCACCTGTATAATGGGTACACCTTAACTAAATGTGCCCCTCCTCCCCACACCCTCAGAGTGACATCACCCAGGAAGTTCCTCCCTTCCCCTGATGAACAGGAGTGAGAGACAGCGTGACTATATGAAACATACCTCTGCCTTTGTTGGAGACCTATCAGAAGCGATTCCCCACTCTGCCATGGGATCCTGAACTCTCATCAGAGCCTCACCCTTGTTGCTCTCTGTCTGCCTGTCAACATTAATAACTCTTCTAATAAATCTCTTGCCCAAAAGAACAATTAGTTTCAGTGACCCCCTTATACCTAGACCATTCACTGGTAGACTGCTGGATACTATGATGGTACCCACTCTCCCCTCTGGAAGTTTCCCTGCTTTCCTTAACATCTGGATGGTTTGCCGGGCACTGGTGGTGCACACCTTTAATCCCAGCACTCAGGAAGAAGAGGCAGGTGGATCTCTGTGAGTTTCGAGGTCAACCTGGTCTACAGAGCGAGTTCCAGGACAGACTCCAAAGTTACACAGAGAAATCCTGTTTCGAAAAACCAAGACAACAACAACAAATTTGGGGATGGGTCTCTTGTCTCCTAGAATCTCTGGATCTTATGTTGAGAGGAAGGGGTCTCTCTTACATGCAAAACTGGCCCAAGTAAAACTTGCTACAGCTGTCTCCAGGTCATATCTTTCTCCTTGCTCAGCCCTGAAATCCATTTCACAGCAGAGGACAGCAGACACCTATCCTAAGTAGGAGAGATGTTTAAGGGTAGATCAATAAGTCCAGGATTGGATTCCGCCCAACACCTATTGTTAGTGGGTGCCCTCCCTTGACCCCAATGTGGAAATTTCTGATAGCAGGCAGGATCCAGAATGTTAATAGCTGAAGAAGCAGCCCCAGTGACTGCAAAAGGGAAGCAGGTAATAGTCTGCAAGATCACCATAGCAACCAGGAAAAGGACAACTTGCTTACAAGAGTCTTTTTTCACACCACTGTAGAGGCAGAGCCCTACCTACCTTCCTGTTAACTTTTGGCAACTTTCAGCAGGCTTAGGATTCTTCCCCTTTCCACACCATGGTTGACAGTTCTTTCCTGATTGGTCTTTTTTTTCATCTTATTTGCATATCCACAATCAGTCAATCAGGGCCCAACTGGCACGTTGCACGTCCATTCTTACACACAGACAGAATCACAGAATTGCTGGAGGAAGGAGGTAAGGAAGGGTTCAGGGTCCAGTTTCTAGCTCAGGCTGGGGGGCAGGTGTGTGTGTGTGTGTGTGTGTGTGTGTGTGTGTGTGTATGCACGTGCGCACGTGCATGAGCGTGCACACACTGATCTCCAGATGCTTCTTCAAAGGAAGAAGCCTAAGGACTTCAGGGTCTGGATCTTAGCTGGCTCACTCTTCAAGACTCACACCCGGGGGACTTGCCCGGGGCTCCATGTGCCTAAGGCTTCCACCACCTGGCGCTCAAGCCAGTCTCACCCATTTCTGCCTCCAACTCCAAGACACCACAGTTCAGCTGCAAAAGGGAGTTTGCCTCTGCCACTGCTTCCAGCCCATAAGACCTGCAAGAGACTGGAGACATGCAGTTACTCCTCTTGGCGACCTGAAGACTTGTTCAGCAAGGCACCGCTGTTGGTTGGGACCCCAAAGCTCACTGAAAGCTTCTCAGGACTACAATGCCTAGCACCCCAGGGGTCCTAGAATCCAAGTCCCACACAGCAATTTGTTTAAAGTTGTTTTACTCCACTTGAGGTAGTTGACCCTGAATCAGCAATATTTGTACACTCCCCACTATCTACCCACTCCATTCTTGGAGGAGGGTGTGACAAGAGCCTGTCTGGAGACAGGAAATGTTCTCTGCCAACCACCTTACTATTTCACTAAAAATAAAAAACAACAACAACAAAAAAACCAGAAGATCTGAGATATTACAGAAGACATAAATGCTAGTTGGTATGTGCTCTGTGACTTTTCCTGTGGAGACTCAAACATCTACTCACTTGAGATAGGGGATGAATGACTCTGATTACCAAAGTCCAACTTGATAAACAAATGAGTTTACTGTGGTTATTTATAGGAGCACACATCACTTAAAAGCTCACCCAGCATAGGTGACAAGTCACAAAAGCTGCATCCTTGAAGCTCTACACATAAGGAAGGCAGAGCAGCCAGTTGTGTCTCCTCTCCCCAGGAATCTGCTACCGCTTATGTAACATGGAGGGGGTTATGAATCTTGTAAGTTTCAGGAGCTTCCTGAACCTTACACATGTTGTTAATTCCCTGATTAGGGAGGGAGCTTTTTTTTTTCTTTTGGATTTTTGAGCCAGGTTTCTATGTGTAACCCTGGCTATCCTGGAACTCACTTTGTAGACCAGATTGGCCTTGAATTCAGAGATCTGCCTGCTTCTGCCTCAAGTGCTGGTGTTAAAGGTGCACCTCAACATACTGGGCTTAGTCCCTGAGTCTTAACAAGAGGAAGAAACCACTACATGCATGGTATAGATACTTTCTATAAAAATTAGATACTATGCTACAAAATGGATCATCACCAGAACAAAGACCCATCTGTCTTTCATCTATATAAAAATATCCAAGAAATTTTATACAATGGTACCAGAAGATAGTGATCACAGCCACACTTGGAAATAGAAGACTGAAAATTGTGTTTAAATAGTTAGAGAAGGAATACATGGATTGTGGTACACAATAAATTGTTCTCTAGCAGTGAAAATGTACAATATGCAACTTACTTATGAAAGGAGATGCTTAACAAGTTTGGAAAATATACACACAACTAATAAAAATGTGTTGCTTAGTAATAACATGTGAAAAGAAATTAAAGCAATGTAGTAGCTGTGTAAATGAACATTCAAGATGGGAGCTACTACTGAGGAGAAGGCAACAGTAGAAGGTTGGGACCAATAACAAAGTGATGAAAAGTTCATTGGAAGTATTTTAGTTTTTGTGGTGGGTGTCAAGTTGAATGTGCGCTCATTATATTGGTTTCTATGAGTATTTTGCATGCAGTATGTTTGTGTACCACACATGTGCAGTGGCAGTGGGGGCCAGAAGAGGGCGCACAAGATTGCCTGGAACTGGAGATGGTTGTGAGTCACCTTGTAGGTGTTGGGAATCTAACAACGAGTCTCCTGGAAGAGCAGCTGGTGCTCTTAGACCCTGAGCCCACTACGATGCTCTTTCCTGCACTGATTTAATTCAAACCAATCATCCGAAGTCTACTGGTTATAGCACACTGACAACCAGTTCTGTGGTCTTCAGGTACCTTGAAAAAGAAGATTGATTCTATCTATCTATGCTCTCGGGTCTTCCAACCAAAACACAGTATGGAGGACTGGGGAGAAGAATCAAGGCCCTGAGCAAAACCTCAGTATCCTAACGCCAGATACCTGGTTCCCACCATGCACACAAAAATGCCCTCCTCAGATGGTGAAATATTAAGACGGAGCCACAAAATACATCATTCTCCAAGGGCTCAAACAAAAGAGGGATGCATCACATGGGCCTCCCTCCCACGCCGGCGCGCCAGTGATGTCACCAATCTGCGCCCTAGCCATTGATTCCTGACTGAAGGTGGAAGACTACGCGTTGGGATCAGCGGGAAGGTCCAGCGCAACGGCAGGCTCACGAGTGGGCAGCGTCGGAGGAGTCGCGCGCGGGTAAGAGGCTCCTCGGCTCCCGCAGGCCGCCGCCTCTGCAACCTGCGGCGCCGGGGAGAGAGGCGCGGGGGTGGAGGCGGAGGGCGCGGCGGGGCTGCGCGGATGCTCGGGAGCTCTTGCGGGCGGGAGCCGCTGGGTACCCGAGGCCCTCCCGCCGAGAGGATCCCCGCCCGCGGATGCGGGCACGGGCGCCTGGCCCCGGGAGCCTACCCGGCGCCCTGGCGTGGCTGGCACTGGGGCGCGGAGGTGCCCTCCGTGGGATCCCACGCGGGGGTCGCGGTCGTGGCGCTCAGCCTGGGGCTGGCCCTGAAGCAGGAGGCCTTGTTGCGTCACCTGCCTTTCCTTCGTCTGTTTACCTTGGTTCTTGGGCCCTGCCAGAGGGTAAGCCGGCCCGAGGTGTTCCTCGTCAGTACCAGAGTCCCGGAAACTTGCGGGGGGCTTTTGAACACGTAGGGGGAGAATGCAAGCGTGCAATCAGCCAAGGGGGCTGTGTCTAAGCGGCTGCAGGAGGACGCCGGCACACCGGCGCACCGAGGCCTCCAAGCTGCCTGCTGGAGAGGGAGGACAGGTTGCTAGAGGAGGTCATTAGCGACGGAGAATGCAGGAGCGTCAATTTGTGGGCAGTTGAGTGACGATGCCCACTTATTTCTCTAGGAAAGCGGTCTTGTCCCCATCGCTTTATAGATCCTGAAAAACATGAATGTTATTCACAGTTGAGTGCTTGCTGTGTGGGAGGCGGAGAAAGACGCTGAAGCGGGCATGAACGGTAGAATCAGGTCCACTGCTTCTCAGCAGCGTGACATTGAGTTATTTAACCTCTCCAGTCTCCTCCTTGGCTTATCTACAAAAAGATACCTATGCTTCCCTTGACCAGTTGTCAGACTTTAAAGTGGCTAGCTCGTGATTAGGGGCTGGCATGCGGGCATTTGTACTGCCGCAGCTGATTTCTCTTCGGCGCTGTAGTTTCAGAGGCTGGAGATCTTTGTGCTGTTTTGCGTATTTGCTATCCTGCGTTATTTCCCTACTGTAGACTGCATAAAATTCTAGAGCTGAAAAGAGATTAAGAGAATAAGAGATTATTGTACTAATTATAGTTCTCTTTTTTGAGCATTTGCTCCTGATACTGTGTCAGGGACTTCAAATCCACTAATTCATTTAATCCTGCCAACAACCTAGTGCAGTAAGTCCTGTTCCCATTTTACAGATGGCAGAAGGTAAGTCTCAGCCAGGGTCCTAATACTGTTGCAGAGTTAGAGCTTGAAGCCAAGCCATCAGGTTATGTGGTTTGGGTCTTAACATTTCTCAGTGACTAGGGGCCTGGCAATGTGAAGGTGACGTGGTCAGAGAAGGGAGGTATGGGCTGGGATGGCATCATTTCCTATGAGAATAGCATCTGATTGTTGCAGCGATGCATCATATTTTATTTTACATCCTACCCAGTGTTGTCCAATGTGGACTAAGATTTGGCTTGGGGGGGGGGCGGAGGGAAGAGTCCTGAGCTTGGGCATACATACAGCCCTGGAATACTGGGCAGACAGTCGTTATTTGGTGATTCCTTATAAAAAAAAAAAGAAGGAAAAATAATTTTTAAAAAACTACGGAGGCGCTGTTACTCTTGCCAGCAGGAGACCTGGTGCTTACCCTTGAGCTGCTATTTTTATTCTCCAGCACACTGCCACACAAGCATCTTACTGACTCACAGACCTGAAGACTTGACGCTCTCATTTAGACCAAGGTTGGCGTTATTATCTGTGACAAACTGATTAGAGTTCTGAAGTATGCGAACAGCAGAATCTGAGCTTTGGGGCTTTTGCGGTGATCTCTTGAGCTCCAGCGATTTGTTTTGCTATGACATCTGGTAGATATGGCCTTAATGGGCACAGCTGTTTGAAAGCTTTTACGTTTTCTCGAAAGCACCAGATGATTGGCATTGAGAATAAAGAGGTCAATATTAAATTTCTCTAAAATTTAAGTGTTTAGGATAGATCTGTGACCGATGCTTTGTCAACTTCACATAAGCTGGAGTCATCTGGGAGGAGAGAACCTCAGCTAAGAGAATGCCTCCATAAGATCAGGCTGTATGCCGGGCGTTGGTGGTGCACGCCTTTAATCCCAGCACTCGGGAGGCAGAGGCAGGCGGATCTCTGTGAGTTCGAGGCCAGCCTGGTCTACAGAGCGAGTTCCAGGACAGCCTCCCAAACAATACAGAGAAACCCTGTCTCGAAAAAAACAAAAAACAAACAAAAAATCAGGCTGTAGGCAAACCTGTAGAGCATTTTCTTAATCAGTGATTGATGGGAGAGGGCCCAGCCTAGTATGGGTAGTGTCACCCTGGGCTTGGTCCTGGGTTCGATGAGGAAGAAAGCTGAGCTAGCTATAAGGAGCTAGCCAGTAATCAGCTCCTGCCTCTAGGTTACTGCCTGAGTTACAGCCCTGACCTCCTTCACCAGTGAACTATGATGTGGTGATGAAAGTAAACTAAACCCTTTCCTCCCCAAGTAGCTTTTGGTGATAGTGTTTCATCACAGCAGTAGTAACACTAATAAGACAGATGATCATTAATGTGGGATGGAGCTGGCTTTAAACTATTCTTGGTGTTTAATATTAATTTATTATTTGTGGTACTGGGGATTGAGCCTGGATGCTCACACACGCTAGGCAAGCGCCCACTCTGTCACTGACCTGTATCCCTTGCTTCTTTACTTTTTATTCTGAGAAGGGGCTTCTGATTTGCTTCTGCTGGCCTTGAACTCCCAGCCTCTTGCTTTAGCCCTCCTAGCTAACTGGGATCACAGGTCTATGCTACCAGACCCAGTTTTCTGATGTTTTAAAGCACCTATTGTGTGCCTCCTCTGTCTTTAAACTATAGGTCTATATAGTAGGCTGTTGGGTTCATATAGCTCATTCATTTTAGACTGTGCCCCAAACACATATCCCTCAGTCCTGAGCCCAAGGAGCAGAACTGATTTTCTGTACTTTCTCAGATGCCTAAAACCTGCCTGTTTCACAAGCTTTATTAGACACTGAGAGAGATCTGACATCTGTCCTCCTGTCCGTCTATACCCTTCCTTGCACAGAAAGTGAAGTTCTCTCCCTGAAAGAGGACATATTAAACTAGTTGCAAATTTCAGGAATCCAATGTAAGCTACTTAAGTAAAAGGATTTCCCTCTTTGATTGTGTCAGTTGCAAGTTCAAAGGTGAGCTTCCAATATGTCTAGATCTTGGGGCTGAAATATGTCATAAAGACCTCCTGGGCCCTATCTTTCTCTGCTCCTTTTTAGTTTACTGTTTGTTTTCCTACACACTGAAAAAGCTGAAACCACTGACTGCCCTAAGTCATGACTTATGACTAACGGACGGGGGAATTCTGTGTGTGTCCGGGGGATTCTGTGGTTGGACAGGTCTGCATCACAGGCCCTCTCCTGGGATGGAGATGCACATTGCTTCTGCTTAACTACAGGAGCCTGAAAGGAATATTCCTGGTTTTGTTCATTTTCAATATGATTTTTTTTCCACTGGCAGCAACTGTCATATCCATGCTTTCACATCTGCTGGTTGGGGGGGGGCTTCCTAGTGCTTCCTTTGGCTAATCCTTTAAATTTAAGCATGATAGTTTGTTGTAAAATACTAGTTAAAGATTTGTTTATACTGTGTTACGTTTGTTTAATGATGCAAAGATGTATTGCATTCTTTTCTGTTGCATTTGTTTAACTCGTTGAAACTGTGTTACTTTGCCTGTCTAAAACAACTAATTGGGCTAATAAAGAGCTGAACAGCCAACAAGAAGGCAGGAGAAAGGATAGGTGGGGCTGGCAGGCAGAGAGAATATAAATAAGAGGAGAAATCTGGGAAGAGAAGATTGAGGAGCAAGAGAAGGAGGAGGACACCAGGGGCTAGCCACCCAGCTACACAGCAAACCACAGAGTAAGAAGTAAAGAAAGGTAGACAGAAACAGAAAAAGATAAAAGCCCAGAGGCAAAAGGATAATTTAAGAAAAGCTGGCTAGAAATAAGCCAAGCTAACGCCAGACATTTATAATAAAGAATAAGACTCCATGTGGTTTATATGGGAGCTGGGTCTCAGGGCCCTGCAAAAGAGTAAACAAACAAGCAAACCAAAACACAACTGCAATAGTTAGCTTTAATTGTTGACATAACACAATCTAAAATCACCTGGAGGAGAGTCTCACTGAGGGACTGTCTACACTGGGCTGGCCTATGGATGCGTCTGAGGGGAACTGTCATAATTAGACTTGTTGATGTGGGAAGACCCAGACTACTGTGGGCAGCACATTCCTGAGGCAGGGGTTCTTGAACTGAGTAAATCAGGCTTGACACTGGCAAGTGAGGGTGTGTGCATTTATTTCTCTGTGCTCCTGACTATGAGTGGATATGACTGTTTGAAGTTACTGCTTTGCCTGCCCCAGAATGATGGACTGGGATCTGGAACTTTAAGCCAATAAACCTCCCCTAAGTGGCTGTAGGTCACAGTATTTTTATCACAACAGAAGCGAAGCTAGAACACAGTAGGTTATATTTCTGGGTTTGGATTTTGGTTTTTGTGTTTTGAGACAGGGTCTTAAAATGTACCACGGGCTAACCTGGAATTGAGCATAGACCAGACTGGCCTGGAATTTACGAAGATCCTCCTGTCTGTCTCCTGGGTGCTGGGCTTGCAGGTGTACTACCATGT